CTGACTGACTGACTGACTGACTGACTGACTGACTGACTGACTGACTGACTCATCAACGCCCAGGCCAAACCCCTGAACCTAGAGACTTGAAATTTGGAGGGTGTATTCCTCTCATGACATAAGCACCCACTAAGAAAGGATTTTTAGAAATTCCACCCCTAAGGGGGGAAAAAAGGGGTAAAATGTGTTTTTTTTACGACTGTCTTGACTGACTGATTGACTGACTCATCAACGCTCAGGCCAAACCCCTGAACCAAATTTTTACCAAAAATATATAAAATAGGGGTAGAATTTTCCGGGGAGTGCCACTATGTGTATAGTTTTTTGTTACCAATTTTCTGGAAACCGATTTTTTTAATTTTTCCTATTTTTCGAAAAATAATTGATCAAATCTCAACAAACTATAGATCAAACAGGGGTAGAATTTTTCGAGGAGTACTATGAAGTGTATAATTTTTCGTTACCGATCTTTTGGAAGCCGGTATCGAAATTTTTTCAAACAATTTTTACCAAAATTATATGAAATAGGGGTAGAATTTTCCGGGGAGTGCCACTATGTGTATAGTTTTTTGTTATCGATTTTCTGGAAACCGGTTTTTCTAATTTTTCTAATTTTTCGGGAAATAATTCACCGAATTTCAAAGAATTGTAGATCAAACAGGGGTAGAATTTTCCGGGGAGTGCTATGAAGTGTATAATTTTTCGTTACCGATCTTTTGGAAGCCGGTATCGAAATTTTTTCAATCTTTTGGGAATTAATTGACCGAAATTGAAAGAATTGTATATGAAGTAGGGGTAGAATTTTACGGCAAGCGCCATAATGTGTACAGTTTTTGTTACCGATCTTTTTGGAAACCGGTTTTTTTAATTCTTTAAATTTTTCGGGAAATAATTGATTAAATATGTCAAAGAATTATACATGAAGTAGGAGTAGAATTTCTCGGGGAGTGCTATAAAGTGTACTATATTTTATTACCAATTTTTTTAAAAACCGGTTCCGAATGACCGAATTTCAAAGAATTGTACATAAAGTAGGGGTTGAATTTCCCGGGGAGTGCTATCAAATATATAATTTTTTATTACCGATCTTTTTGGAAAGCGGTATCAGAAGTTTGACGAATTTTTCGGGAAATAATTAATCGAATTTTAAAGAATAGTATTTAGAGAGAGAGAGAGAGGGGGGGGGAGAGGGAGAGGGGAGAGAGAGAGTAAGAGAGAGAGAGAGGGGGAAGAGGGGGGAAGAGAGAGATATATATACAGAGGGAGAGAGAGAGAGAGAGAGAAAGAGAGAGAGAGAGAGAGAGAGAGAGAGAGAGAGAGAGAGAGAGAGAGAGAGAAAGAGAGATACAGAGGGAGAGAAAGAGAGGGACAGCGGGAGAGAGAGAAAAACAGAGGGAGAGAGAGAGAGGGAGAGAGAGACAGAGAGAGAGAGAGAGAGAGAGAAAGAGAGAGAGAGAGAGAGAAAGAGAGAGAAAGAGAGAGAAAGAGAGACTATTTGCGTGTTTGATTAAGTGATTACATATATCCTCCGGGGCGAAGCCCGGGTAACCAGCTAGTTACAAAATAAATATCTGAGATGACTCCTTTAATTTATCAAATTTCTCAAAATATACATTTATTTATATTGCGTACATATATTTTTTAATAGACGAATTACAAACCTAGATCAATATCAAACATCCATTGCTTTAGACAGTTAAAATACAAACATCCCTTTATTATATATAAGCACTTTATAAGTTATTTACAGTTATTAAGAAATACAGGTAATTCTTCAGATGGTAATTCTTCATACTTATAACTTTGCGCTGCCTGCACATTTGCAGGTTTTTCAGAAGGGCATATTCTATTAATTATTGATGTTGATCCTATTATTATGGAATTAGCAAATGTATTCTGTGGAAGCATTTGCTTATCTAATTGATTTATGGCTGCATCACTTATATCGATAGAAGCAGCTGGACCATAATCTGGCCTCTTTGGTCTTTCCTCTGTATAATAAAAATAAAGTAATAAGTAAGAATAATTATAATTCTTTTAAATGTACTAAAAAAGTTTTATATATACAGGGTGTCTTTTAAAGAGTATCCACTGATTGTATAGCACTATTCTGTCTCAAAAATTGAGTCGAAAAGTATTGAATCGTCTTTTTTCTATAATGCTTAAAACAGTAATTATTAAGTAAACTTAATCTAATTAGCGCCGTCCTTTAGACAGGTGTACGTCAGTGAATGCACCTAGTAATGTGTATGACGACTTTTAGCAGCAGAGCACTCATGTACCAGGTATGAGGCTCACTGACGTACGCCTATCTAAAGGATGGCATGATTAAAGATTAGTTTTATTTAATAATTACCATTTTATTAAACATTATAGAAAAAAAATAATTCAAGATTTTTTGACTCAATTTTTGATAAGGAATAACTATATAATTAGTAGGCATTTTTTAAGTATATAACATTCCCTGTATATATAAAATTATGAAAAAACAACCTTACGTTTTAATATATCACATGCCACATAGTCAGCGGCCCTAAATAATTCTGCTTTTATAAGAAGTTCTAGTAAAAATTTTAATGTTGGTCTCTTTCTCCCCATAGTACTCCACTCATCCAAAAATATTTGAGCTGCATTGCGAATGTCTCTACGTGCCGTTTGTTCAATTTTGCTAATCATGCAATCATCACAAATCACAATAATGTATAATCAAAACATAAATTATTACACAGGTTCATTGCACAAAAAAAAGTATATTGTTCTGGGGTTGAGACCACATTACTCCTATGTATTTTGGTACCCGGTAAACACGAATCTGCAATAAAAAATAGCCCTGGTAACCATTCCTTTGCAATTCTGCTGTAAACTGCACGAAAAGTCGTGCACTAACTTTCGGGCAGGTCATGCGTTTTCTATTTCCAATTTTGACTATTTTTCTGTTGGCAGAAACTTGCTCTCGTCGTAGTGCAACAGAATTGTGGAAGATATGTGTATGCATTTACATACAGCAGAATAGTGCAAGAAATGCGGCAGATGCTTGCGCAAATCGCAGTGCAACATAATTGCGCCAGATTTGTAGCAGCGCCTACTGCTACCCATACAGCACAAAATATTTTTAAAATATTTTTTAGAAAGATTAAAATAATTTACAAAAATATTTTTTATATTTATAGCACCGCAGTGGTGTTGGGTAAGCCTTGCGTTGTATTGCTGGCGAAGATTGTCGCGAATGTCATGATTTTGATTCGCGCTTCGCCGGAGGCCTGCTTATATTAGATCCCAACTGAAATTTACTTGCGAGTTAGTTTTACCATTACGCGCCGCCTAGCGGCATCGTTGCAAACTAGCACATACAGCAGATTTCAACAAGAATTACGGCAGATGCTTGCGTAAAGAAGTAGAGCAGCAGAAATACAAATGATTTTGGCAGAAATAAACAAAACAAGGCAAATGAGAGCTCGTTCGCGACGATGGACGGGCGACAGTAATAAAATATTACAAATTGAATAAAATATATATAATAAAGTAAACGTTTTAGTCCTTGGTTTGGACCCTCCTCAGTACATATAGCTGGTCGAGTGAAATGCAGTGGTCACAAGTAGTAAAAAATGCAGTTATTCCGCTCTCCGATTATGAGAGTGTAGATCTCGTATCCTCAACGTGACTGTTACCTTAATTCCATAAAAATAAATAAATTAAACAAATATATATAGTCATACCTTAAAAAGTGATCACAAGAGTTACCTGACAGTCAAATTGATAAGATATACGACACCATCTCTCCGCGTAATACAATAAGTATTACGCGGCATTTTTGACTACTTGTGACCACTGCATTTCACTCGACCAGCTATATGTACTGAGGAGGGTCCAAATCAAGGACCGAAACGTTTACTTTATTATATATATTTTATTCAATTTGTAATATTTTATTACTGTCGCCCGTCCATCGTCGCGAACGAGCTCTCATTTGCCTTGTTTTTATTTATTTATCGTTATTGAGAGCGTTATCTTTGTTATTTTGGCAGAATATACCGTACATCTGATTTATCAACCAAACATTTTTCGAAATTCGTAACGCTAAAATGGACCGTATGGCCTACATCTCACAGCACGAAGCTATAACAGTTTCACAATCTCCACTTAACTTACCAGTAATTATTTCTATAAATATTTATAACATAAATTAAAAACAACTTTAATAATATTGATGATAATTATTTACACTTTATTTTAAAATATTTATTATAATTTTTTAGATACTTTCATTTTCCGGACATTATAATATTTACAAAATATTCAACGTATATATTTTCAAAATATTTAAATCTTTTTTATAAATATTTTATAAATATTTGATAAATATTTTGTGCTGTCTGGGAGTTTAGCGCGCTCGACAGTTCTTTTTCTGACGGGCAGATGCTGGCACGCTTTTTTCGCATTTCTGTCACTCGGATCTATACGGCAAAAACAACAATTTAAGCGACATTATACACTTGTGAAATTTTGCTGCAAATATGTTTCAAGAGTCTAGCACACTCGACTGCTCTTTTTCTCACGGGCAGATGCTCGCACGTTCTTTTCACGTTTCTGCCGGTCGGATCTGTACGGCAAAAACAACAATTTAAACGACATACACTTGTGAAATTTTGCTGCAAATATGTTTCAAGCGTCTAGCACACTCGACTGCTCTTTTTCTCACGGGCAGATGCTTGCACGTTCTTTTCACGTTTCTGCCGGTTGGATCTGTACTCAAAAGATACTTCCATATTGTTTTCACATTTCTGCTACATGTTTACTTTTAACAAATAGTATAAAATTTCACAGTAGCTTCTTACAGCAGACTACTGCAATAGTACAGTAAGTACTCGTTCAATCACAGATATTATGCACTTTTGTCGCAATTCTGGACTGATTTCTTGCGCACTTCTTCGGGACGCATCTGAACTAGCAAACTGGTTACCAGGGAGGGGTCGCCCAGTGGATTTCAGAGATAACCTCAAAAAACCGTAAAAGACTATTGCTGGATGCTGAAAAGAGAAACACAACAAAAAGGCAAAAAGCAACGTAGAAATCCTTTACATTAATATAGGTCGTTCGATGACAAACGCATACGCAAGCGTAAACCAATTTAGTTCTCGTTTATAAGATCACCTTCATTTAGGTGGCCTCATGCAGGTTTTCAGTCACTAAATTTCCTTACAGTATAAAATCTTCTGATCACCAAACTGGACTTACAGACGATAACTGTGCGAGTATTGCAAAATATTTTCCCGCTCTCAGAGGTATAACCATCTTCAGATTCGCCTTCAGCCTGCTGTTGTCTTCAGTTTTTTTTATGCCCGGTCTACAATGGATGTCGGAAGTCGGAGTCGTAAGAAATTGACCAATCACAGTTCATTATTCTTCGACCGCAAGGAGAATAATAGATTGTGATTGGTCAATTTCTTACGACTCTGACTTCCGACATCCATTGTAGACCGGGCCTTATATGGCCAGTCTACAATGAGTCGTTAGTCGTTAGTCAGATATCGGAAGAAATAGTTATAAGCGTATTATAAGCAATCGAAGGCCTGTAATCGGTGATCGTAAGAGATGGCATTTGGCCAATCGCTTATGATTGCCGATTACAAACTTCCGATCGCCTTATGACACGTTTATGACTTTTTTCGACTCTCTTCCGACATCTGACTAACGACTAACGACTCATTGTAGACTGGCCAATAGTCTAAACATCAGGAAAGACTGACACAAGTGTGTTTGTGCGTTTACCAATAAAATTCTGGTTGGTCTTGACCTGAAACAAATCATATTCTTTTTTTAAAGCCTTTACCACTAAAAAACGTGGTTTTTTACGGTTTTTTGAGGTTATCTCTGAAATCCACTGGGCGACCCCTATTTTTTATTGCAGATTCGTGTTCAGCGGGTCAAAATACCTAGGAGTAATGTGGTCTCAACCCCAGAATAATATACAAAAATGACTAGACATCGGATTTTTTTATATGCAGATTGGTGGAAAAGAGCAGTTAATAACTAAAATTATGTTATTCATAATATCCAACATATTCATACTGCAACGTATGTTAGGTATAAATATGTTGGATATTATAAATAACCTAATCTTATTAATTGCTCTTTTCCACCAATATGCATATATATGAAATCCGATATCTATTAATGACAAATAACTTAAGAAAAATGTAGTACAATCAATTTCTAGAAATCTTTTAATGATGCTGAGTATGAAGATTTCTTCTTTGATTTTTTGGAATTAAAGTATTCGATATTTTGAAATTGACGTATGTAATCGAATCTGTGCTTGAAAAAATTATTCTCATTTAATACAAGTTTTCCTCATTATCCGAAAGTAGAGTGTTCTTGTGAAATCTTTTTTTTGAGCCAAAAGGCATAAAGCGAGGAAGTAATTATCATTAATTTAGATGAGAAAAATTTTTGCTTGTAAAAGCGAAAATCCTCTTTGGACCTTTTTCGGTTAGCGGAAGCAGGTATTACTAAAGTAGGTCTTTCGTAAAAGCAAGATAGTGAAAAACAACCTTTCGAAAAATGGAGGATACCTGTGTTATAGGTATATATACATTATTTTTTATTTATCAAATAATATGAAGTATCAATTTTTATCAATAAAATGTATGTACTTTGCAATGTAGATTTATAAATCAATATCTTTTTATTTTTAATTTTCTCAATAACTTGAAAAGCATAGCATATCAAATTATATAACATATTGACTGCTTTATTAATATTCAGAATGAAACACAAAATCATAAAATTCATTACTTATAGTTTTACTTTATATATAACACCAGTTCTTTATTTCTCTAAGTTTATTTATAATGACTTAATTTAACATAGATTAGTTAAATCGATTATCGATTTAAGTATATAGATTATTTACTGTTCCGGCAAAATTAGAGCCGTGTTTCAAGACTGAAAAATATTCATCGTGGAGTTCACTGTTAAGTGATCCTTTGTTATTTAAGTGATTTCTAATCGTACAAACCTTGTACTCTTCTTTATTTCTTCTTATATATTAATAAAGCATGGCAAATATGTATATGTATAATACTATTGCAATATGTAATGTAACACCTACAATCACAATTTAATAATATTCAAAGAGATACAAAGACTTATAACTTTTTTATAAAATATAAATTATTTTATATTCTAAAATTTGTATAAAGTAATATTGAATATATAAAATTATATACTGCAATAAGAAAAGAAATCTTTATACCTAAAATTTCTCAAATTTGCAATGTAATACGCTTTACTATGAAAATAATAAATATTTGGATTAGGATGCTTTATATAATATATTCGCATGTTGATAAAAATACTTTGAATTACATTATATGCCTTTTAGTAAATATTAAGTTTAGGTTCCTCATATTAGATATTGATATTGATATTGAAAAGTACACTCGATTGATATCTTGTGTAAAACTGGTTTGGAAAACAAAAATTGCTATTTATTACTATAAAAAAAAACCAGTAATTAAAGAGGTATTTTTTTGTCTGTTTTTCGACGATTGATGGAAGTGTAAAGCCAAATCTACAATGTGCTCTTTGCTTCCTGTTTTCTACTCTTAACCTCTGCGACTATCTCGTATTTCGCAATTCTGTAACGTGATGTTTCTTGTCTCTTCTGAAGTTCGTCAATTTTTATCTTGCGACTATCTCGTATTTCGCAAAGAGGTTAAAAAAAAGGCCACTTCGACCAACGCCGATTAACTTTAATCGACGATTAACTTAATCAGCAGTGTCGCCAACAACAAGATATTTGTCGTTGATGTGTATGTCGTTCTTAACCACTCTTCTCAAATATTATACTACTTCTCTTTAATTTGAATAAAGGTGTTTCGATTTTTATTTAAAATATCTACGAAAACGTGTTTATGTAACATGGCTAGAATTATTAATTTTTTATTATTTGATGAATACGAGGGTTATGACCTTCCAATAAAAAGGAATCGACGAAAACCACGTATAATCAGGCCACGTATAAATTATTTAGAAATTTTTGTCATTTTAAAAGAAGATTTGCAATATCAAAGAAAAACTTTAACATGATATTAGAAAAAATTTATGTTGAATTACAACATAAGACTAATCGGTATGTATAAATATTTAATACAACAATTTAAAATTATATATGATATAATAAACAAGACAAAATAAATTTATTATAAAAAAATAAAACATTAAAAATGTTTATACATACTATGGGAATGCATATATGTATTCTGTCAGTTTATTAGTTTATTTTAATTTATTTTAATTAATATTCTCTCAATTCTGGTGAATAGTATATTATATATTATAACAACACAAATTAGATTATTAATTTTTTCCAAAATTCTTTGCTTTGTCAGTGAAAAATTAACACAGGTTGTATTTTTGACCAAACTGAAATTTATTCTTACGTTAACTCGACGTTTCGACACTGGTTTGTGTCCTTATCAAGAGATTTATAAAAGTATACAAAATGAAGTCGTTACAAGCATGTTGTTACAGGAACGAATGTCGCACGAGAAACAATCAAGGAAATATCTACCTATCTCATATTGTTCGCAAATTGCATTAGCCACCCACAAAGTTCTTGCAGTTCTACTAACATTGTCAAATCTTAAAAAAGTCGCAATCCAGAGCGAGCCGCAGTCATGATGTGAACGGAACCAACCGGTGACACGTCGTTCCGGATCGAAAGACAGCGACTAATCTCCGATATATAAATAAACGACTGTATAGGTCAAACAAATAAAAATAACGCTTAGAGAGTAATTATTACGTGGCTCTTATGATTCTATCGTATAGCGGATTGAGATTCTCAGTGTCTTTTTTTAAATTGATCGTGTTCTTTTGTTCTTTTTTTATGTAAAACATCTCTGCAATCTCCCTCTTCCTTACATTTCTCTCTCTATGCATAATTTCCGTATCGGACCATTTAAAATTATGCCCGTGTGTAAGTCGATGCTTGCTAACAACGGAGTGTTTATTCACATCTTTTTTGATGTCACCTAAATGTTCCTTCACACGAGTTTCCAAATGTCTTAGGGTTTGTCCAATATAAGAAACGTTACAGTCATTACATTCGATTTTGTAGACCACTCCTGTTTCTTTCATATTTTCGAGCTTATCTTTGCCCCGTTTTATAATTGAATCTAGCTTTTTGGGGATCGTGTAAAGGACATTGTAGATTTGGCTTAAATCAGTGTAAATGTCTCTAACCTATCAATATGGTTTATAGCACATAAATTTTTGTTGTAACGCGCGTTAATGGTAATTAAGCTTACATATTATGTGAATATATAAAGATTTGGAAATCTGTCATATAAATATTTAAAGTTGTATAAGCACGGCAGAGACAATAAACGCAAAATTTGAGGTTAATATGTGTATGTGTATGCGCGCGCGTGTGTGTATGTACATGTTACGCTCAAAAACCGAAAACGCTCACTGAACGAAAAAAAAAAAAAACAACCACGACGCGTTGTGGATGCTGATTGTCCAAATATCAAAATGAGATATTTTTCCGCGCGATGTGTGAACGTTTTTTTATTGTCCACAACGCGATGTGTGCATTTGAGAAACGTCTAACGCAATAAAGATTGCATCAACAGAGTATCTGAAAATAGCTGATTATTATACGAATTTTATATGAATTTCCAATTTTCCACAAACATTGTGAACAACAATTAATTATTGTTCTTATATTACTGAGCGACGATTTGTTTTTCAAAATTTTATTTTTACAGAAAAAATTCGAATAAATATAATTTTATCAAAATATATAAAGAGATCGAGGAATCAAACTTAATATTTATCGAAACATTATGTAAATTACCTGATATGGTCACTACTAAATTTAGAAACATTTCCTTGTTTAGGCACAATAGACATCAGTTTTTTCCATGAATCAGAAATGCTTAATATACTTCCTAATTCATATAGTTCAGCGGGTCTCAATTTTCGTATTTCCATATCCAAGTGTGTCTCATAAGGCATTTTTTGCGATAACAAACAGTATTATATAATTAAATTTGTTCATCGAATTTATAGTAGCTCTGCTACGTGCTCCGATAATCACTGTCAGATCTTCTGCCCTGAATATTGGAATGAACATAGGAACTATGAATGGTCTAAATAGAAAGAAAGTAAGGTGTACTACTACATCATGCTACTTCCATAGTATAAGGATATACAGTAGGGACAATCCTTCGTTTTCGACTCAGCCATACAGATTTGCTTGCGCATCTCAAGCGGCCACGTTCTTAGACATGCACCAATCCCGTTCAAAACAATGACCCTATAGTAAAGATCATTCAAGTAAGAGATTGGACACCATCCACCGTCCGCCATATTATTCAGGACACCTATGGCGCGTTTTCAAAAAAATGTTTAAATCAGTTCAGTATCTATATAGTTTATTAACATACAAAAACTAAATTTAATTAAAAATTCATATGTGTATTAATAGTTCAAAGAAAAAAATCTAATTTTTGAAAAAATTTAAAAATAAACACGTTATAATAATGTTCAAATAGCGCGAAGTATATATAACCACTATATCAAAATTATTTATCTTCCTATTTATATTTTTAAAGAAGTGAAAGCATTTAAAACATTGACAGAAAGCATTAGTTAGATTATATCTTATTTTAATTAACCTATTAACCTCTTAACGTATACTAGCCTCCTCAAATTTTTGTTTATTTTTTAATAAAAGAACTTTTATTACTTGCTATAAATTATTATACTTGTTAGCATAAAGTTGGTGTCATACAAGTACGATTTCTTGAATAATTGCACGTTGTTTGCACTGAAGTTACAAATCTCGCAAGCGCCAAGCAGAAACGTTAATATTATTATCATTAATAAATTTGATTAATTTCTTTACACTAAACATAATTTTCGACCTATATTGACATTATTATTACAATTTTGATTTAATTTGCTAGAGTTTTAATATTTTTATTTTGTTAAATAATTATAATTGTAATGTTATTTTGATTTAATACTTTATAATTTTAAAGAAAATAATTTATTATTTAAGTATATTATAAATATTTAAGGGTCGACAGGAGTAACACTACCGACCTCTGTCGGGTTGCTTAGCTGCGAGTCCGTATTTTATTTATTATAAACTTTTTAAGAGCCAAAATGGAAAATCCGGCTATGTACCATCTTGCGGCTGATATTACTGATTAAAACGAGCATAAGTTTAATGAGATTCGTTAATTAATTTGGCTAAAATTTGGGAAAAGCCGTTCCTGAGCAGCTTTGCAGCTCTAAACAAGCCTGCTTTTAATCAGTAATATCAGCCGCAAGCTGGTACATAGTCGGATTTTACATTTTGGCTCTTAAAAAATTTATAATAAATAAAATACGGACTCGCAGCTAAGCAACCCGACAGAGGTCGGTAGTGTTACTCCTGTCGACCCTTAATAATGATAACTTTTTCCCTTGTAGTTGTCCTGAACAATATGACGGATCAAAGTACCAATCAAAAGTTGTCTAAACGATGTCCAATCTCTTAAGCCCCTTGCACAATGCTAGGCAATAGGCAATAGGAATAGGAAATAACAAAAAAATCGTTAATTACAACCTAAAAAATTCGAATGCTATGATTGGTTTTGGCAACAGGCAATAGGCACAGAATTTCCAACGTGACGGAAACTCTGTGTCTATTGCCTGTGTCACTGTTTTATTCTGCATTTATACATGATTTCTGATTTCTATTCCCTGTTCCTATTGCCTATTGCCTAGCATTGTGCAAGGGGCTTTACTTGAGGATCTCTACCCTATAGTATCTCCGTTACTGCAAAGCGATAAAAAAAGATAACCAAACTTAATGAGCGTTACCGTCACGCCGCTTTCATATTTTGTGTTATAACTGATAACTCTACTGTGCTTTCTTTATTGAAGGAAAATAATCGGATGTGTGCTGTGATCATATTGATCATTTTATTATTTAAAAAGATTTACTAATGGCGGTAGTCTCGAATATTCTTTTGATACGGTACTTGCAGCCCAAGGACATGGCGGACCTAGAAAGGGTGCATCCCCATGGAGAAAGAAATAGCGGAACGGAATTAAAACGGAATTCCTTTGATTGGCTAATATCCCATCTTGAGAGCCCCCACCTGGAGATTAGCCAGTCAGAGTGATTCCGATTTAATTCCGTTCCGCTATTTCTCTCTCCATGGGGATGCAGCCTTATACTGTGCTACTACGCACATTTCTGAACAGCCAATAAAATTTTGTTCTAGCGATCGCCATTTGTGGCAAATTGGGTACAAAACAAAAAATTAAAATGCTTTGAAAAAAATATATAATATTATATATAATATAAAAAATATAAAATTGCTATAAATATATCTTTGTTAGTCCAAATTTTTATAAATAATGTTTTAAAAAGCGTCACATTTGAACATAAACGAAACGCCATCTCATTGGCTCACGGACTTGTGACGTCACCACGATAAAACTCGATGACATCTCCATAAGAGAAACAAGTGTCAGTGTTAAATAATATTCAGAATAATAAATTTCTTTCGCCAGTATATAGAATAACAATTAAAGTAATTTAAATCGACCGTGACTGGCAATATATAACGTCTTTTCGATATGAACATTGAAAAAATTAAATAATATTGTTTTAAGACGATATATCATATCAATATATAAAGTAAAAACTCGAAAAAATGGTTGATTCGGGCTTTGTAAAAGGTAATTCCAATAATTTACCAAAAGTAGACATGTTTATAGTATGTGAATATGTGAAAAATAATGACAACTTTAATGCTGCTGAGGTCCGCAATGCAAAAATGAACGTGTAAGTTTTTAACATAAGAAAATTTATTAAAATTTGATTATATTTATCTTTTACAATATTGTTAATATGGCTTACACATTTATTTGTTGTTATTTTAGTTCTTCTCGACAAAACTATGGAGATTTCGCGGTAATTATTTAGTTTAGGGGCCTTACCTCAAAATATCGATGTAATTATGCTCAATCGACGCGTTTTTGCACGAAACGAAAGAATCTGGCAGAAAAAAATGTCGCTCTGCCCCGCGACGCGAGATATTAAACGTTAAAGTTGACAGAAATCAGTATGCCTATATTCTCTAACTTTTTAACGACGATGTCGTTATTGTTATGTAGCGACAATTGTCGCTTGCGCGAACGACACTGTAACGATAAAGCTATTCTGTAACTTAGGCTAACGATACCGTATCGATACAAAATGCGGTACTGACGTCGTTACCGAAACGAGTATACTCGGATTCATATAACTCTATCGCTGTAGTATTCAGCCAATAAAATCTCGTCTTTGAAACATCCTTTCTGATGAGTTTAAGGAGATGCTAAAGTGACTCAATTACCGACAATTACAGTCAAAGGTCTAATTTTGAAACGGCTTTATAGATCGCAAAATCCTTTTACAGGAGTAAAGTATAGGTACTAATGAAGGGTGGGATATTGTAAAATAATTAATAATAATTGAAAAAAATGTAAAAATGCTGTCACCTCATAACCTTATTTTCTAATATAAATAGTTGTATAAGTAATATGTACGAAATGAAATGTTTCCACCCTTCAGAACGTGCACAAACAATAACGTACCTTTGAAATTGAGATTGAAAGCCTGGAATAAAAATAAGAGCTTCGAAAAAATCGTGTATATTTTTCACAAAAATATTCACGCAGAGCCATATATATAATACTACTATATTGTCAGCATCCATAAGCGGTGCGGGTCGAAACACTACGGTGCCGACAATCACCGTCTGTCTCTATCCACAGTTGCCTTGCCACTTATGCGCATGCTCGGCAACTAATGGGCGTCAAATGTGAGATCGGTGAGGGGGGAACTTAAAGGTAACCGGTGCCTCGAGCCCATAACCTAAAATTTCTGTTAATTGCATCAGTAACAGCAATTTTTTACTAAAATGGGTAAAAAAAAGTGTTACTTATGCGATTACAAATTTGATAAAAATAAGCACATTTCTTTGCACCAGTAAGTATTACATGTATATGTATGTAAACAAATAAATTAACTTTGCGTCCACTATGTCAAATAAATACATACTTATAAGTATAATACGTTCTAATATATAAGAATGAAAGAAAAGAGTGCTGTCACTAATAAAATAATTCTTATTTCAAGCTTCCCAAACCAACATCAGCAGAATCGTAAACAGTGGTTAGAAGTTTGCGGATTGAATGAAACGGATAATGTGTCCCAAGTTTTTGTGTGTACACGTCATTTCCATCCACACCATTACACTGTCGCAAATAAAAAGATAAGGTTACTTTCTATGGCTGTACCTAGCACAGTTATTTTAAGTCCTGAAGCAGAGGTTGGTAAGTAACCAAACATTTCAACAATTATTATATATCGAGATCAAAAGAAAAATATAATCAGTCGTACCATTAATAAATATTTTGTAAATGCAGAAAAGATTTGTTCTCTTCCACCAAAGAAAAATTCAACGGACATTACCTATGATAATCACAGCATTGTTCAATCGGACGAAATAATACAACCATGTATTCAGAGTGACAATATTGGTATATATATGAGCAATATGGGTTTTCATTTTTATATACTATACATTTGTAATGTAATATTTTATTATTTAAAAAATTATTTTTTATTGTAGAGTCCAGCATTGTTTTGGATCATGTCGAAAACATCTGTGAAGACATAAACAACAACAAAGAAAACAGGGAAATGCTCACAATCAATAACGTCATTACCGATAACAATACAGCAGCTCTTTAAAGTCTCAATGTTACAATGGTAATTCATTTTCATCATTAAATTAATTTTGGCATTTTTTCTTTTTTAGAAAATGTATATTTTGTAGAGTACATAAATAAGTGCACTATAAATGTAATTTATATTTTTTTACATTTTAGGTTTTGAAGAATTAACACCTAAGAAAGAACGTCGTGTTTTACAGCCTCGATACGTTTCCGAAATTGAATTGTCTGATTTTGCTACTCCTCGAAAAGCTAAAAAGACATTAAACTTTATAAAGTCTACAGATGCTAAGAAGTCTAAAGCTATTGCATGACTAAAAGCCGCAAATAGAAAACAGGCTAAACGGATTGTCACTATGAAGCAGATGATGTCTCATCTTCAGAAGAAAGGACTGATCTCGAAGAATGCTGAAGATACTATACTAGTAATACAATACGATTTGCTATATTTTAATTTTAATAATTTTAAGTTTTTATAACATTTAATTTATCATTTTTATTATTAGGGATTGATTCCGGAGAAAATAAAACAAATTTTAAACAAGAAGTTGAAACACAGTAAAAGCTATTCACCAGAGATACGCAGTTTTGCTCTGACTCTACACTTTTACTCGCCTAAGGCATAACTATGTACGTAAAACATGGAATAATCTACTGCCAAGTCCCACAACTATTAGAGAGTGGTACCGAGTTGTTGACGGATCACCAGGCTTCACAAAAGAAGCCTTACAAGCAATTGCGTTGCGGTATACAGACTCAAAACCTACAAAAGTAAATTTAGTGATAGATGAAATGTGAATACGGGAACAAATTATTTTTGATGAAAACCGATTTTACGGTGGCGTCGATTATGGCACTATATTACATACATATAATGATAACGATTGCGTTCCTGTAGCTAAAAGTGCCTTAATGTTTATGGTTGTATCTCTTAATGACAATTGGAAAGTACCCATTGGGTACTTTTTAATTAACACTTTAAATAGTGTTGAACGAACAAACCTATTACGTCGGGCATTGCAAGAGTTAAATAACAGTAAATGTAAAGTGTATTCTATCACTTTTGATGGCGCTTCTTCCAACATTTGTATGTGCACTGATTTAGGCGCAAATTTTGCATATGGCCCAAAATTTAAACCATATTTTATTAATCCGGAAACAAATGAAGAATGCTTCATTTTTTTTTACTTCTGCCATATGATTAAGGAGGTTCTACAGATAATGGATGTATCTAAAAATTGGAAAAAACTTTATGGACGTGTAAATTGAGATGCAAGAAAAGTGCTCGAAAAATTTTAGCATCGGTTTACCGTGTAAAAATTTGCAAAAATGAATTTTGAAATCAGTTTTTAACATAAACTACATATGGCAGAGGGGCTCTTGGAGACAGGAAACGAGATATTAATTATATAAAGGCGACCCACCAAAGCTCAAAAAACGGAGCTCTTATAGATCTTAATCTAAGCTTTTCAGAAATATCGAGAAAAACAAGGGTTATCGCGTAAAATTTTGTGATATTGGCTATTGAAACAGGCCATATCACAGTTCACGTAGCGTGCTTCGAATAACAAGGGAGATTTGGCAATGTCGCAGCGACTGCACCCGCGCGAAAAGTGTACAGCCAGTACAGCACCACAGTATGACAGCACCTCAAACTTAAGCACCTAACGTTTACGAGCGCTTACGGAGAATACTCGCTCTAGAATTATGTGAAATTGTGAAATAACCGTGGTCATATGAGCAGAACTGTCAAGTTCGCGACGTTACCACATTTTCTTCCATTATAAGCCGCCAGAGTCAAAGGAGCACTTACACGATATTTTTAATTATTCCTCGCTTCGACTAATATGGGTATGATATAAGCTCTAACGTCATCAAAATTCACGAAAATATTTTATGAATACTTAGAACCGATGAATTTGAAGATTTTCTCTTTATCTCTCAACTGACTAGAGAGTATCTGTAGAACCTCCTTAAATTAGTGAGAAATACGTTAGGCGATAAAAAAATTTTAAAAACAAGCGACAACGATATAATTTCGTGGAATCATATAAAAATGTTGCACGAATTTCAAACAAAAGAAGGTTTAAGAGCCGCGAATAAACTAACGAATAAACACATTAATTTTGAGAATAATCGGATGAATGTTAAATTAGCAATTCAAACTCTCAGCGAAAGCGTTTATAAATCATTTGTTTTTTTAACGAGTTTGCCTGATGAGCATGTAAAATCACAATTTAAGGATTGCCTTAAGACAGCAAATTTTTGTTTACAGTTTAACAATATGGGAGATATGGTAAACTGTAAAAATAAATTTTTTAAGCACAATTTTAATACACCATTAAATGAAAGTAATTACTCAGTTATGCGAGCGTACGCTGAAGGTTTTAAAAAATATATTACAACTTTACGCTTGGAAGATGGTACGCCAATATTACAGAGCAATAGAAGAACAGGTTTTATAGGATTTATTATTTGTTTACGAAATATGTTTCAATTATTTGAAAAATTAAAGATACACCAAGTGTCTTATCTCTTAACATATAAGTTATCGCAGGATTACTTGGAAACATTTTTTAGTGCAATAAGAGCTCGGGGAGGATTTAATAATAACCCCAATGTAGTGCAATTACAAAGCGCTTACAAACGTTTGTTATTACGTAATGAACTCCATGAATTTGAAAATGGTAACTGCTTATTTGATGGAATTGAATTCTTCATGTGACATCGCGACCAAACAATTTTACATGTCCCATTGGAAATGAAAGTGTAAACGAAAGTGTTGAGTTTGATAATGAATATGTGAAGTTATTATGCAATTTAACTCCTTATGTTGATAATGTTGTGCAATACATCGCTGGATACGTATCATTCAAACTACAAAAAGTTATTGATTGCACTGTATGTAAGGCTCAAGTAATAGGAGAAGAAATGCCTTTGTTATCAAAGATAAAAAATCGAGGGCCTTATTTAAGTTTGTCAAGAGATGTATGCACAATTTGTCAAATATCCGAGAAAATTATACGATAGAATTCTAATAATATTAAACAAATTTATATAAAACAGAAATTGGTTAATGAAGTTTTAAATGCAATTGACATGCCATTTTCAAATTTAGTCATGGAAAATCACATACGTACCCAAAGCCGCATTTTAGACAATCATAAAGTTCAATTATGTAAACATATTGTTAATTTTTATATCAACGTTAGACTGTTTCACGAGAGTAAAAAAATGTCCGAGAAGCAAAAATACGTCCGTTCAAAATTTACAAAACTCGTTTTTTTTAATAATCAATAATTTTAATAATTATAAACTACTGCCGTTCTTTAATTTCTAAATTAAAATTGTATTAATGTCGTAAACATTATAAATCAGAATACAGTTAAGTCATATTTAGTTTTGATCGTAAGAAGTTGAACTTCTAGCAAATATGTTTGTATGTGATAAATATGTACCTGTTAAAAATAAAAATATGGTAAATATTTTTTAAATAAAAGAGATATAATATAATGTAAAAAATGTAATTTACTTGTATACAAATTCTTGTAAAAATCCTTATTACATTGATAAATACTAATTACAATTTACTTGTGTAAAATAAGGTACACAATTCATATTTTATATAATATACTATGTATAAATCTTTCTACATAATTAATATTAATTTGTCAATTTTGATTGACGTCAATTGTCATTCAATTTTTTTCTCTGTTCCTTTTTTCGTTTACTTTAATGTCAAACAAAAAACTGTTGGAGCAAAACTTCTATTTGCTGTAAAAATAAAGAAACGTATTAGTTACAAAATAAAAAATAAATATGTTAATTTATTGCTTGGTCTAATACAAATAATATTTTATTACATAAACATGTATTCTATTTTGAAAACTAACCTTTTTTGATGCACAAGATTTACATCCATTCTACTTTATTGTGTATTCTTAGGACCTTCTAAGATCACTTCTTTTTTCTGAAGATGAGACAACATCTGTTTCATGTTAGCAATCTGTTTAGCTTGTTTCCTATTTGCGGCTTTTAGTTGTGCAATAGTTTTAGACTTTTTAACATCCATAGACTTTACAAAGTTTAATGTCATTTTAGCTTTTCGAGGAGTAGCAAAATCAGACAATTTAATTTCGGAAACGTATCGAGGCTGTGTAAAACACGACGGCCTTTCTTAGGTGTTAATTCTTCAAAACCTAAAATGTAAAAAAATATAAATTATATTTATAGTGCACTATTTATGTACTCTACAAAATATACATTTTCTAAAAAAAAAAAAAAAATGCCAAAATTAATTTAATGATGAAAACAAATTACCATTGTAACATTGAGAATCACAGATGTTTTCGACGTAATCCAAAACAATGCTGGATTCTACAATAAAAAATAATTTTTTAAATAATAAAATATTACATTACAAATGTATAGTATATAAAAATAAAAATCCATGTTGCTCATATATATACCAATATTGTCGCTCTGAATACATGGTTGTATTATTTCGTCCGATTGAACAATGCAGTGATTATCATAGGTAATGTCCGTTGAATTTTTCTTTGGTGGAAGAGAACAAATCTTTTCTGCATTTACAAAATATTTATTAATGGTACTGATTGTATTTTTCTTTTGTTCTCGATATACAATAATTGTTGAAATGTTTGGTTACTTACCAACCTCTGCTTCAGGACTTAAAATAACTGTGCTAGGTACAGCTACAGAAAGTAACCTTATCTTTTTATTTGCGACATTGTAATGGTGTAAATGGAAATGACGTGTACACACAAAAACTTGGGACACATTATCCGTTTCATTCAATCCGCAAACTTCTAACCACTATATATATATTTGAAATTTATAAATATAAAGATTGCAAATATAATTAATTAAATAAAAACTAAAATTCGTAAATGTAATGTATAGAAATCCCCGTTCTGGCCAATATGCTTTTATATAAAAAAAGTCTTACTTTAAAAGCCTTTACTTTAGCATAACAGTATTTAAATTTAATATTTAAATGCATAACAATAATTACATATTAACTATATCGAGAAAAAAAGTAGTTTATAATGTTCTTTTTACTCTTATTAAAATATTAGCTATTAATGTTTATAAGCGGCCACGAGCAACAACAAAGAGATATTGGATTAAAATAAAAACAGTTTCTTAAATAAACAATACACATGGTTAACGTTTCGACTGTACTTAGTTTTCTTCGGAACAGATTACTACGATAAAAGAAGATAAATATAAAAAAACATGATAATAATTAATGTTCAAGTTTACATACTAAAACATTAAACATGATTCTAGACTAAAACATTAAACAATCACCTAATAATATAAACAAAGTAAACAATAATTTAATTAAATCACAAATATAAAAACGCCAGAATAATCGAATAAAACCATAACAAGAGAGATATTTATATTGAGAAGTGGTGTAAAATCTCTTCCGTCAGGAAAAGAATGTAAAGAATTATTAACGGAGGTATTCTGATTTAAAAGATCTTTATGAAAAATATATATTTTTCAGGAACTTTTTATAGGGAAACGAAGAAAGTGAATAACGTTAAACTTTGCATGTTCTCTTCACCTTATTTTAAAAATTTATTTTTATTTTTTAAGTAACAAAATAAATGCTCTTCTTTTCTGTTATATCCTGGTCACCATAAATGACAGACGGTGTAAATAATTCTTGCTGTTCTAGGCATCTGAAACGCAAAAAGCTAAAATTTTCTTATTCAGAAGAAGTATATGTGGCTATCGTCTGAACTAGAAATAAACCAATATTTCCATTCTAGGTTCTAGCCGGCTTTTTTATCAAAAATATTATTAATCAATATTAAATAAACCATTTACAATCTGAGCTTAGATTTTATAGTAGTTTAATATTTTTTATATACTATATATTTACATATTTTTCCAACTTTAATCAACTACGCGCCGACTAACTTGTCAGACTTACAACACAGACGTTGCCTACGCCCGACGCGTGCAGACGCATGCAGACGTTGTTACAATCGTTCAAGAAAACTGTTCAACATTTTATGTGTTGCTGCAGAAGAAATTCGTAATATCGGCGGACAAATTATACGCTAGTGGTTAGTGCTGCTAGAAAAGATCGTAGTATTTTAAGGATTCATGCTGTAGATCCATACACGGACAGAGGAGGGCTTGCGCGACCAGCATATCCCCTCCATCTGAGTAGTTCGGACACAAACCATAGCATGGATACGAACCCATGTATCGTTACCCGAGTCCTCTCTGATCGTTACCGAGCGTAACGCCGTAGTTGACGTTTACTTTCTCAGAGGGCAGATTAGGACAGACGTCCCCCGAAGCCGGATAGCCGCTCTCAGGCACCTCTATGAAGTTGGCCGGACAACTTCAACGTATCGAACTTTCATTAATTGGAATCGATTGGTGGTCGTTTGGTGGTCTTTGGTAGTCTAGTCCGATCGTTTGGTGGTTAGTCGTTTTCCTGTAAAATAAAAATAAAATTTCCGGTGTAAAGTTAGCCGGACAATTTTTATTTTATTAGTGGTCACGAATATCGTCATTAAAACGTTTGGTGGTCAATGGTTTTCCTAAGAAATAGAAAAAACCGTACTCTCACGCCATTGGTCGTATGACTCCGTGACGTTAGCTCGGTAATTTGATGGATAAACATTATTTATCAATCAAATTGACTTTCATACGGCTCAATCGACGCGGAATCGTTTGGTGGTCACAAATATCGTCATTAAAACGTTTGGTGGTCAATCGCTTTCCTAAGAAATAGGTAAAACCGTACTCTCACGCCATTGGTCGTATGACTTCGTGACGTTAGCTCGGTAATTTGATAGATAAACATTATTTATCAATCAAATTGACTTTCATACGGCTCATTCGTGACCACCAAACATTTTTTCATTCCTGAATTTTGCCCAATTGCAGTAAAAAATTCAGGAATTTTTTTCTCGTCGCCAAAAATGAAAAAAAAAAAATTCTCCGTCAGCCGAAAGCCAATACAATGTAGATAATGAGCATATTTTTTATTTTTGTTTCAGACGACTGGTTTTCGCGAAATCATGTACACCATCCGAAAGTCATAGGAATGCGCGAAACGGCTTAACTCGACGAGTTTTATATTTAGTTAGGCAACAAAATTTTGACACGTTCTTCAATGTGTATAGAAAATAATAAAAAAAAATTACTGGTGTTTCATAAATATTTTGTTAGAAATTAATTCCTGAAAATTATCCTGAAACACAGTGTACTAACCCCTTAAATGTAGGATACTTAAAAGTACAAAAAAACGTAAAGAATAAATTTTTGTTGTTGTTCTGCACAATTGTTTTTGGATCTAAATAAGAAAGTAAAAAATTGCAAATTTTTACAATGTTTTTGTAATGTATCCAAAAATCTTTACGAAAAAATTGGCGATTATACCACTTGATAGAGCAAAGTTTTAGCTTTAAGAATCCATTTTGCGAATTGCGGTACAATGATTTTTAACGGAGTTATTGATAGCCGTACCGTTAGCGTATACCGAATAAAAAACGAAACAGGGATGAAGTACTTGCAATACAACACTTTTATTCGGACCAGTACATAAGTAAAGAATCGCGTGAAAGGCAATGAATGTTACAAAACGTTATTGCAGCAAAAAAAGCTTAGGTCAGTGTTGCCATAACTAAAAGCTCACTAGAGTGAAGCGAATGACAGCGCCACACCACGCCAATGTATGCAACCAAAAGAAAAGAAAACCCTTAATTTATCTTGGTTATATATGACTCTAACACTCCTCCTTAATCAATATAAATTAAATTACAGCGATCTCTTAATGTAATGAACTTATTTTTAACTAAACCTTTGGTTAGTAAATCGGCTAGCATAGTTTCAGACGGACAATATTCGCATATGATATGCTTTTTATCAATGTGGTCCTTTACAAAGTGAACTTTTGTGTCAATATGTTTTGTCCTATTACTTAATTTTTCGTTGATAATCATTTTCAAGACGCTTTGATTATCTTCGTAAATCTTGGTATGAGTTTGTCCTGTCCATCTAAAATCCTTCAGAAGTCTTTGTATCCAAATCGATTCTTTGCATGCTTCAAAGAGTGCGATAAATTCCGCTTCGGTCGATGACAAAGCGATGCAGTCCTGTTGTTTGCAACTCCAACTAATCGC